AATTCTTTCACTACACTTGTATGTTAAAGTTTTTAAACTCGGGTCACGCGTTTGGACACAAATACCCAACATCATTGTACAAATAACCGTACCGTATTTCTTAAACTTCCATAAAGTTTATTAATGAGGAAAACACCTTTTCCTGCAAATCATGTAAAGCCTAACAACCGTGAAGCATCGGGAACGCAACTTCTATTCATAAAACTCACATATGTGCATACACTTCAGCTTCCAACTCCAAGGGATCCGACGAATCTCGCAATTCCCTCCTTGCTTTAGCCAATTCTACTAATCTATTGGCTTCCACTGTGTCCATTTTTTAAATTTTATAATAAAAGCAATTATTTTAAAAATTATGTAAATAAAATACTAAAGAAACAAATGTAAACAACCAAACAGCTGTTTACAATTCTGTCAACCATTCACAATAGTACAAATTTTTATCGATCAAGTTACACAATAGCAAAATAAAAGATGATCGACTCGATCGACAAATTTCTATTCTACTGCCAGTCGACACTCGCAATAGGGGCCTATACTAATGCCGATTTTGTTTCTACCGAAAAATGCAACCTTCTCTTTGCTCTCTACGCACAAACACTAAGAAGAGCGCGATGAGAAGGCAACATTTTTTGTAGAAACGAAAACGCCATACGCCAATCAAGAAAATTTCGTGCACACTCGGGTTGAAACGCGAACACCCGGGTATATTGAGCTGCAAAGCACCCGAACCCAATCAAGTATGTATGAAAAGCAATCGGGTGTTGTGGCCAACATGGTCGTCTTGAGCTCTGCTCGTACACAGAGAATGATGCAAAACGGGTTTTGTTAGATGATCGAGTATACACGAAAATTATGCACCCGCTGCAGATGTCTGATATGCACATAGCCTGCATTTTTAAGTACAGGGATTAATTGTATCCCCCAACATGCAAATGCTTCTAAAATCTAGTTACTTACTTAAAGGCCAATTTAACCAACTGGGCATGCTTGGCTACATCACCACCGATTTTCGCGGAAAGCGCTAAATATTGGTTCAGCGGACCGCTGATAATATCCTGAAAACCTATTACACTCATGCTGGGTGGTGGCGGCGGCAGCAACTGCAAGGAGTCTTCGTCAGTTTTAAATGTGCTGGTGGGAACAGCTGATGGACGCGGTGACTCTTGATAGTCTTCAAGCACAGTCGGTATATTTTCGAGACTACCCTCTTTCTGTTGTGGTTGTTGGTATTGCTCTCTGTGCTGCTGACTATATTGACTAATGCTAGTACTTAAACTGCTGCTATGCCGATCGTTAATGCGATTTAGTGTGGTTTCTATCTTTCCAATGCGATCGTTTAGATTCTCCGTCTGCTGTGATAGTTGCTCTGTTAGTGATTCGACGGGTAAAGGCGGTAATTCTGTGCTCTCTAGATCGAAACTTGCTCGTTTCTTCGCTCGGACCGTATCGAATGTGCGATTCGCAATTTCTAATTCACGCGCCGACACTGAACGCTCCAAACGTTCAACCAATAGTTCCAGGCGGTTAACCAGGTGCTCAAGATTTTCAGCAACGGATGGCTTTAGATCAGGATCGCAGTCTGGGAAGAGTTAGAGAATGAATAAGTTTTTCATTAGATACAAGTTTTTGTAAATAATATATATAGTTTAATATTAAATCAATGGCACACATCACCATATATGTACATATGTACATAAAAGCACTAACCAATACAATATTTGCCAGTGGTTAATGCTTTTTAATGCATAGCAAATAATGAAAATAAATGTATAGTAATAAGGGTACGAAAATAAACCGTACATAACCATTCCCATTTGCTCACCGACCATCATATCATTTCTGCTTTTGTACAGTTTTGTACAGATGATGATGTACATATGTAGTGCATTTTTAGCAACATGTTCACTCCAATATTTGAAAACGCTTTCCATCAATTCAGATCGCACTTTTAATGTAATTTCAAATACGCAAGTTAAACACTTTACTTGAAGCTTACAAAGTGAGCTCAGCCGTTTTGTTTCTGTATTGTACCGAACTGTTAAAGTGTGTTAATGTAATAAACGAAACGTATTACATACAATATGGTTTATTTTTGTACACTGATAGTAATTTGAAAATACTCAGGCCCCTATTACGAGTTGCATTTGATTTTCGATCTTCGCTGTTTATCGAAGATCGAATGCGAAATTCGTATTATGAGCTATGCAACCGTGTCGAAATTTGCGTTGAGTGTCGAATTTTCTGTCGAACAGAATTTTGCTTTCGATGGTGTTGCGAAGTGTTAGAAAATTGTGAACAATGTATTATTTTGCATTTGTTTTCTTACTTTTTGGCAGCTAGACACTAATTTTAAGTAATTTTTATTAATTTCATGCAGTTCTAACGTCGTGAATACTAAACACAAACTCGAAAAGCTGGTTTCACTTATGAAAGCAAATTCCAATACTTAGTTGGCACGATCTCTGAGAACAAAATCGTAGAGCTGCTGCTTGAGGTGTTGATAGTTTTAAAATGTTGTAAATAGATTTGGCTCACAAAGCCTCTTTAGACGGTCGGAAATTTTTAATAAATCTAAAGACGAATTTCTTAAATATATTGTATGTCAAAATAGTATATTCGAAAGACTAAACTTAAACTCTCTTAAAAGTTTTCTACCCCTGGCCAGTTTACTAAGCTCTCATTCTCTGACGAATCGTTGAACCAAAACTCCGTTGTACTAATTTTTACCAAGTTTTTATAAACTCGCTTTCTTTTTTACTTAATTTTCACACATTTAAATACATATGTATAAACACACTATTTAGTTTGCTCTTTTTGTAAACAAAGCTTCTCAGCGGTGAAAAATGTACTTTTGTGAACAATTTAAACGAGCGAAATTCACAATAGCGCTATTCTTCATCGAATGAGCGTCATAATACCAAATAAAAATTCACAGTCGAAGATCGAATGCAAGGGCCTCAAAAATAACTGATAATATTGAAAATCGTCGTTTCATTTGAGAGTATGACTCATTGTCGCCGCCAACGGTTCTTTATATATCGCACACCGTCTTCAAAAGAGTCACAACTAAAAATAATACGTTTGTCAGAAAATGCGAAAAACTATTCTTAGCGCATGATAATCATATGAGCAAGGGCGCCTTTACCTTAGGTTTTTTAACAAATTATAACAAAAATTTGATCCAGCTTTTGCTGAAAGGTAAATAAAAGCTCTTGAGTTGTGACCCTTTTGAAGACGGTGTGCGATATGTACATATATGCATGTATATATATACAGTATCGGTCATATCTATAGCACGCCATTTCAAAGTGATATTGTGTGCCACTTATGTTTATTTATTTATTTTTAAGAATTTTCAATTAAAATTTAGTTCATTCTCAGACAAACCCCATATATACCCAAGTTTAACAATTTGTAGAAAACTTCAAAAAAGTGCAACAAAATTTCGCCTAAATTTCAAACTTTTTGCTCGGAAGTGTTAGAATTTTTTTGAGTACACAGTTTTTTAGCTCCTGCAATTTTAGTCTGATAATGCGCAAATTTCAAGTGGCTAGGAATTACCTTTAATTTTTTAGAATTTTTTTTTGTCGCATTGGCTTCCATATAATGAATAAACTCAATTTATTTGTATATGGAAGAAAACAGCAACACCTTTGGCGAAAAAATTCTAAACTAGTAATTTTTAGCAAAAAAAAAAACCGACTTCAACTCCCATATAAAAAAAATATATATATATATATATCTCATGATCCACTGATCGGATCTCAACCAGATTAGTATGGGACCACCTCTA